GACGTCACGCATTAAGTATGCACGCATGGGCAGTACAATACATAAGGCAATATGGCGTCTTAGGCCTATACATGAGCCAGAATGGAGGTCTGCAAGTTGAAATGAATATGTTTGTTTATGCATCAATCGATCACACATATAATCCAGACAATCTTTCAAATCATATACTTAACATTGTAATGGATTTATTTATTTTGTGAGCTAACGTTCCCTTTAATTTTCATTGGTGAAGCAATGATTTTACCTAAAATGAGTCCCTGTCTTTGCATAGTGATATTTAAAAATCGAGAAGCAAAACCTATGTTGAATATACTGTGTATCGATGAAGTTTATATATAGCCTAGGGGAACTCAAAAATATTGTTATTATATCGGCAAATTCGCTCGAAAATGGTTGTACACCCTAGAAATTGAATGTTGTTGATTTTTTCAATATTTTAAAATTAATTACCGTAGTTACACCATAACGTATCATAACTTCCAGTAGAGGCGAGCTGGTGAGTAATTTCTATTATTTTGACAGTTCAATTTTACATGTCTTTAGTATTGTGCACATGCTCTATGTGGACAAAATTCAGCTTATAGTGTCACACCATTTAGTGTCTTCTACCTTTTAGGAGCCATGTAAGGGTCCCATTCATGAGATAACTCTTTTATTTCTAACTAAACTTCTTGCCTTTTATCATGCTTAACAGAGTGTAATAGAAAGGTAAGACTATTTTCTTGACTCATATCGCTTAAATTGTCGAAATTCGGCCTAGAATCGTAAATGTGTCACTTAAGGGGAAAAGTTCATCATTAACCCTACCAATATGCATTGCTTCCTGATATACTATTTGTCATCTGTCACTTCTATCGTCAGTACCAATTGAGAGTATTCGTGCAGCCATTACGACTTTTATTGTGCGCCATGATTAAATAAGTATCATATCTTCAAAAATATTTGCTTTTGAATATACTAGTATTCAGTAACTAACTGTAAGTTCATGAGGTCATTATGAACTCCTCTATTACAAAATGAAATGGCAGATAAAATTATTTTGATTTGGATTCTTCTCAAAAATCATAAAGTGTGGGAATAGCATGCCAGAATTTGACATAATGTATCTTTGAATGATGAATTGGGAATGACGACTTTTTCAATGGTAGCTCGTTAAAAATATGTTCCTAAGAGATATGTTGTAATTTGCCCTTAACAAAGTTGTCTCAATGTATGCTAACCCTTCATTTGGATTTCATTGAACAATTAAACAATTGTTATATAAAATGTATGATTTTGCTACCAGATTTCAATATCTTTCAGTAAAAGATTCACCAAAAACTATTTCAATATAGAAAATCAAATTGTTGCCAAACTTTTGGAGGGGTGTAAATTGTATGTATGACAAATACAAAAAATGCTTTTATGTGAGGTACACCGATGAAGGGGGAGATTTGTGGATACATAAAAAATCGAACCCCTGGTCACCAATTGCTGGCTACTCCAAAATTAAATGCCTCGGTAATCTGAACCTCGTAAGAAGCTCCCTATCATCAAAGATTTCGAGGGGATTGCTACGATCCCTAAGCAATCGCTCTCGTCTAAGAGACCGTCTTACTGCAAAGATGCGCACATCTACCACAAAAGCCATCTTTGCTTACATGCGTTTGTTCTTTCTTTCTATTACGTAATGATGACGCATTGGCATTTGAAAATAATTTACGTTGAACGTATATGAAAGATACGTTGCTGTTAACGCTTGGACACCTAGAAATTGATGACATTTTCGTACCTGTCTTTGGAACCAGCTAGAAACTTGAAGATGTCAAGCAAATGACAAATCATTTTAACATTACGTATTATATCTAAAACAAGTGTTTCACAAAATCTCATGGTAATTGGATACTAAACGTACGAATAAATAGTGTTTTTAAGGCTGGACGTAAAGTTACACGGTGAAGATACTTGACGTAAATATTTTGTAAGATCCGCAGGACTTTACGTTCATCGTAAAGTTACGTTTGCTTTATGAATACCAAAATAAGTTTCCGTAATACGATACGTTGACGTAAGTCCTACGTTGGCTTTATGAATAAGGCTACTGGTCGTTAACGGTGGTAATAATACTAATAACGTCATTTCTGCGAGCGATATAGTGAAATATTGGACCTTGGGCCTTCGGCCCTTGGTCCAATATTTCACTATATCGCCCTTAGAAATGACGTTATTGTACTATTAGCTTGTATTTGCGAATGCAACTGACGCCTGTCGGCTACCGGATTAACCTAGTATTTTATTGGAAACTCATTTAAATATGAATAGTACCTACCACCATTCCATTCATATTTAAATGAGTCATCAAATATTGGGTTAAGCCGGTATCCGACAGGCGTTAGTTGCATTCGCGAATACAAGGTTAGTCTCTCAACACGTGTTTCACATTTACTGGGTGACCCTCAAAATGTGAATGGAGGTGTTCTGTTTTCACAATAAAAATGTGATATGATTAATAGGTCGCCAGCATTTTGCCCTTTAACTTTTATTCGACTTCGCTTAAAAGCATATAAATAATATCATAGATATTATTTTAAAGATTTAATATCACAAGGCTCAGTTAAAAAAAGATCTTTATTTTCATAATAGTTTATAACTAGACTCTGCGCGGAGGGTAGCATTGAAACCTAAAATGTGAATCTCTGTTATGTCAAGTGTAAACGTTTTTACATTCACATTGCAAATGTGAAGTTCAATCAGAATTGAATAGCTCGCCGGGCAAGAGAAACATTAGGGATTTCAAGCTTGCAATGTTTTTAACAACCTAAACGTGAACGTAAAGTACTGTTGAAGCGATGCATTTGTATGGGAGATTGGTCAAACGTACAGGTTGGCGTTTCGAATTTATATCAGTGGAAGCTTAAACTCCCTATTAATATTACGAAAGAAAATGTGAATAAAAATGTGAATAAAGTGGGAGCAATGATCCATGAGTTAACAAATTCTATCATACAGAGTTGCTATTGTTTACTGGTTGTTATTCATCTACTCTTTTTATACTCATAATTTAAATGAAACGTTTGAAAATATTTGTTGAATATGACAAAGAACGACTCAAAGGTCTACATGTCTAGCTTATATGCAAATATTTAAGTGACGCTTTCAAACGATAGATTTGATGTTAGAAGAAATAATCTAATTTCCGGAATTAAATATTCAAAATTCAGTCAACTTGATAGCATTCTAAACCTACATGTAAAATCGCATCTTAAAACGTGGTTCCAAAAATTGTTTATCAACTTTGAAAAACTAATTTTCTATTAAAATGTTACTTCTAAGTCGGGCAAAATCCCCATAGAGCCCATGTTATGAAATCACAAAAAGTAAAATATCCTTTCCTGTATTGGACTGATATTTATTTCACTGGACATATTTTTATTTGAAAAACTATCACATACGAAAGGGTAAAGTGAAAATTGATCCAATAAAACTGATGAATATTAAAGGGAGTTTTCCATGTTATCTGACCCGAATTATCCACCTGGTGGCGAAACTGGTAACTACCTCCTGGTATCTGGGTTATTGCCTTTCACATATTCTGTGAACTCAAAGTGGCGTGGGTCACTTACGAGCTTCACATTGCAGTAAATGTGAAGGGAAGTTCATCCTTTGTTTGCTCTCAGCCTTTTCACATACCACGGGAATATTGAATTACTCACCCAGCATGTGTTTCACATTTCCTAAATTTGCACGAAGTGACCCTCAAAGAATCAAGAACATTCTCCGATCGGGTGTTTTCTTTCACAATTTTAAATGTGATATGATTAATAGGTCGCCAGCAGTTATTGAAACTCAAAATGTGAATCCTGGTCAAGTGTAAATAATTACCTCCTGGTATCTGGGTTATTGCCTTTCACATATTCTTTGAACTAAAATAGCGTGACCCACATGATACGAGGTTCACATTGCAAAAAATGTGAAGGGAAGTTCATCCTTTGTTTGCTCTCAGCCTTTTCACATACCACGGGAATATTGAATTACTCACCCAGCATGTGATTCACATTTCCTAAATTTGCTTGAAGTGACAATTATAGTGAATGAAGAACATTCTCTGACCACGTGTTTTCTGTTTTTACAATTTCGAATGTGATATGAATAATAGGTCGCCAGCGTTATTGAAACACAAAATGTGAATCCTGGTCATTGGTCAAGTATAAACGTTTTATATTCACATTGCAAATGTGAACTTCTTAACTGACCCGAATTAGCCACCTGGTGGTGAATCTGCCAATTACCTCCTGGTATCTGGGTTATTGCCTTTCATTTCACATATTCTTTGAACTCAAAATAGCGTGACCCACATGATACGAGTTTCACATTGCAGAAAATGTGAAGGGAAGTTCATCCTTTGTTTGCTCTCAGCCTTTTCACATACCACGGGAATATTGAATTACTCGGCCAGCATGTGTTTCACATTTCCTAAATTTGCTCGAAGTGACCCTCGAAAATTGGAATCAAGAACATTCTCCGATCGCGTGTTTTCTTTACACAATTTCAAATGTGATATGATTAATGGGTCACCAGCCGTTATTGAAACTCAAAATGTGAATCCTGGTCAAGTGTAAACGTTTTACATTCACATTGCAAATATGAACTTCAAATCAGAGTTATTGAATAGGTCTCTAGCCAAGAGACACATTTGTCCTACGATTCAAAATGTGAATAAAAGGTCATTTTCTTCCACATTCTTTCACAGCTTTTCATATTCACATTGCGATATGAAGGCTACAATTTAATAGATCGTTACCATTAGTAGTAAATCTATTAATTAAGAGTTGTAATTAAAGAGTATTTAATTATTATACAAGATTAAAAACGTTCCTAAATCGTGAAACCATATAACTTTAATCTCTTAAAACAAAACATTAATCTAATGCAACAATTCAGTTACTTTTTGTTACATCACCATTTCAGATCAAAATGATGATTTCAAATTGTACTTAAACACTAAAATGGATTTGTTATAGGACACGGCAACGGACATGGTCACGACCATCACGGGGACCATAGACACACACACAACGATAACCATGATCACAGCACTGATAGCTTTAAGATAACAACCATTAAGGTAAGTTTTATACCATTAGTTTCATGCCAGAACGAAAATAGAGAGTTTAAGCGTGCAATGTTATTCACAATCTAAACGTGAACGGAAAATATTTAAGCGCTGCATTTGTATGGGCGATTGATCATACGTATAGGTTGGCGTTTCGATTTTATATGCAAGCTTAAAATCCCCAATAACATAGTTCTGATACTTTATTTTAGAGGTAACCAAAAGCTATATAAACCAAATGGAACCTCTTGTTCAAGAGCTCCTATATTGACTTTAGATACTGCTAAGTAATATATTTCTACTGGTTAGCCTAGTTGAGGCAAGCTTAATCAACCGTTTTTCTGATAACATAAGGATTGATTTAACATGGGGATATGTACCATTGACATTGCTATTGTCACATCCCGATACTACACGTATCATCATGGGGAATTTCAACTAGTAAAATTATGTTACTGTGTGTATGCGTTGGAATCGGGGTTCAGGAAGTTTTAGCCTAACCAGAAGTTTTAACAGGAACAGTTTTAAAGCCTAACAGGAAGTTTTAGCCTAACACAGGCCTTTCTAATAATTTTGGTTGCCTCTCTATTTGTTATTATTTTCCTTTGACAGATGTGGCAATGGATATTCCTTTGAAGCCAAGATTATCATCTTTTTTTAAATATTCGAATATCAAGGCATTAAAGTTGATTTTCAAATTAGCAAATATTCCATAATTTCTTAAAGGAAAGATTGAGCGAAGGCCATATTATTTCAATAAATAACATCAACAAGTGAAAGCTTGAAAAAGTGGGTGGAATAGTTTTAATAGCTCTAGATTGAAACACAGCTTTATATGTGAGTACTTTTAGAACATAGTCGTGTATCTTTTTTCAGGTGGAACCATACTACAATGGTAACCAGGGATACATAGTGGATCTGATCAAAGAACTACAACACGTTATGGGGAACTTTACGTATCAGCTGAATGAGGTGGCAGATGGGATGTATGGATCAAAGATCGGTCGTAGGTGGCGCGGGATGATAGGGGAGGTCATTTCAGCGGTAAGCCAATGCGTTCCTGAAGATTTCAAATTCCTCAATAGTATAGTTTCCATATAGCTTCTGAAATCTCGCTAAACCTCGTTTTTCGCGAGATTTTAAGAGATTTGTACATTAAACCTCTAATGACTTCCATTACCTTCTTTTAAATGGCATATTTGAATTCAGGGAAATGTTTTCTCCTATAATAGCTAAATGATTTACGCAGTTATGTAATTTGAATAATTTTCTGTGACAATTTAAAAAAACTTGGGCCAAATCTCCATAGATGCAATGCTAAAATTCTTTAAAACCTTGGATTATTTGTATGTCAACCAACATTTGCATGTTTGATCACGACATGTACATAAATAGGGTCATCATGTGGTATATCATTCAAGTTTTAAACAGATTCGACTAACACCCTTTGATAAATCATGAAATTAAGCCACTTTTCCAAGATTTTAGCATGTAAGTGAATGGAACTTAAGCCCAAATCAAATTCTGAATAAAAGATGGCAGCACTAGATTTCATTGCTTTTTCTGCTATTTAGAAACTATCCTATTAAAACATTTATTGACGCAACGTTGCACGGCATATACGATCGTATACAGTACGCCTTTCGGTCGACCTACTGTATGAATGTTCATGAATGTTCAAGAACATTTTCGAATCCTCGCTAACATATGTGAAAAGGTTTTCCAGATACATTGAAGATACGTCATGAAAATATATTCTGTATTCATTTCAGGATGCGGACTTTGCCGCCGCACCGCTCTACATCACGTCACGTCGTGCCAGGGTTGTCGATTTCACGGTCCCCTTCATGAAGTTCGGACTTGCGGTTCTCGTTAAGAAGCCTCAAAATGGACAGTTGCAAATCACGTCTCTTTCTGCCTTAGTACGCCAAACAACCGTCGCTTATGGTACACTACGAGGAGGCAGTTTACCTCGCTATCTTGCCAGATCAAGAAACAGCGATGTTCGTAAGATGTACCGTTGGATGCGGCTGAATTCTAACAGAGCATATGTGGACAACGTCGAGGAAGGCGTCCGTCGCGTCATGGAAGGAAACTACGCATTTGTTCTGGAGGAACCATTTGTTGAATATCTCGCTCACAAGACCCCGTGCCTCATGGCTGACTTTTCATTCCCTGCGGATTCTGGTATAGAAATCAAGTTTGGCCTTGCGTTTAAGAAGGGTAATTCACACTTCGCTCACTTCAACGACGCATTGAAGATGTTGAAATCGAGTGGTGAGTTGGGACATCTTCATCACAAGTGGTTCCATTCTGGGTGTGATAGTCATAGTCACAGTCATCACCCTGGCAACGCACACGACCATGACGATCACCATCAACACTAAGACACAGATCCTATTAACATTTCATTTGTGCACTCTCTTTTTTGACCCAGCCTATATACTAGAACAATATCAGGTCATTTATGATGCCGTTACCGGTGATATTAGTCTTGCTTCAAGACCCTGGACTACCTACTCTAGCAACTGTTAGAGTAGAAGACCCTGGACTATACCTACTCTAACAACTGTTAGAGTAGAAAGTCCAGGGTCTTGAACCAAGACTACGGTGATACCGCTCTTATTGCTCGTGATACTGTGTTCTACATTTTTAGAAGGGAATTCTCGTCTGTTGGGACCCCTGAAATTATGCTGACGCCGGCATGCAGTGACATTACGTCACTAACTATTTGTTTGGATGGACAACACGCATTATACGGGTAAAATGAATTTGGGAATTTCTGCATTTTATACCTTGATATCGTTGTATCTTTGATATAATATGTCAATTCTTTTTGGAAAAGTAAAATATGAATTGCCAATTGGCATGCTATCTCATTTGCTGTATCTTCAGTGTATAAAAAATATATGTACATGTATATAAAATTGAAACATTTTTAATTATATTCTTCTGTTTCTTCATTGCTTTCTATGCCACTACCAAAAGTATTGATAATGCACAAGTCATCATAGAGTGGCGATATTACAACAGTCGCCAAAGTCTTGGTATTATTAGAATCACAATAGCAGGCCCGTAGCCAGGATTTGACAAGGGAGTTCACTTTTTGGAAAATTCCAGGGGGGTTCACTTTTGAAAATTTTGGTCCAAATCACTTAAAAAGTGCTCAGAATGCCCCCCTGACTACAGGCCTGCAATAGTGTTGGTATTGGGTATTAGGGAGGTTAAAGGCCAGGTTTCCCTGCCATATGGTTGAGTTCAGCCCACCTCATTAATAGCCATTAATGACTAGCCAATCATGTGAAAGATCATGTTACCATATATGGCAAGAATTATGCCAGAATGTTTACAAACACAAGCATATGTATCTAGAGGATTAAATCTTTCACTGTCTTATTGGGGGAAACATCAAAATTAGTGTGTGAAATATCTTTGGGGGAATTTAAAATAATGTAGAGAGTTAAATTTTGAAATGCAGATATGGTCCCTTCTATGCAGACTAGAAATCTTTGAAATTGACATCCCTGACATATCTCAAGGGACACATTATTCTTGGATCTGATGAGATCCACAGGGTGATTCCAAATTTTAATCTAGGATTTCACTTGATCTTGTCAATTACTATTCATCATGTGAACATTGAACTTTGAAAATGAGATTTTGATTGTAACTCACTTCAATGTTGCAGCATGATTTCCTTTGGTCTGTTAGAGATAGGCCAAATATAACCTAGGGAAGAACCCTTTAGCTATCATTCCTCACTACCTGATGTATATCCTATGTATTTATGTATATCTTACTAGATAGTAATCAAATGCCCCCTCCCCTCACACTCTGGGTGTCAAGAGAAATCAAGTACTATTTGAATAGATTTCCTCAGTTTCACTGACCTATACATGTATATGAAGCTAACTTGAACAGAACCAAAGTCTAACCAGAAAAAGAAATGGCAAGTGAACTTGGAAGTGAACAAAATCAATTAGGAAAACAATAGTATAGTAGACAATCACAAAATTACACTGGTGCACTTGTCACTTTTATGAAGAAATGTTCTGAATATGAAGAGAATTTAGTTTGGAAATGATTATGCAATATAAGATGACAGATCTTACCACACTATACTGGAATGAAAATGTAGAAAGGGATTTACCAGTGTTCAGACTAAAGATTTTGCTCCTCGCAGGAAATTACAAAAAATGATTTGAAACTTAAAATATTTAATTACATGGAATTAATCTGGGATAAAGTACTTTATGTGATTGTTTCATAATAATTTTATAATCAGTTCACCCAAATTCGCCTATGACATTGAATTTATAGCTAAAATTTGAACAAGTGGAAGTAAACACCTGTACCAACCTGTATACAGCTATACTTACTGGGGATATATAATGTGAATAATGTGAAAAATACAAATCGAGTGGTAAGTTTTTCTTTGATTTTTAAAAACTTTTATGTTTTGCAAATAGCTGATTTCTTAGAATGATACAATGTGCTTGTGTTTGCAAATATCACATGACAAATTTATAGCATTCTCATTGGTCAGATATTTAAATCCCAGTCTTATAACTCCTCCCATAAAACCAGTACACTTTCAAATAAAAATACTTAACGTGTAAAATGATTGTCCCCTTCACCAGACTTTATTTGCCCGATTGAGTATGAAGATAGGAGGAAGAGTTGTAATAAGGTCAGATATATGGGGGTTACAAAATTACAAGCAACATGTACAATTGACCTACCGATCTATTCCTTACAATCTCAGATACAATATCTACCAAAAGATGCACGATATGTTATAAATTGGTGAAGTTATAATGGATTCAACGTGCAAAAATGGGTGAAAATGTATAAATTCTCCAGAATAATAAGAATGGTAACCATTCTCATAGAAAAATAATACATTATTGTAAAAATCTTTAGTTTTCCTGAAATAAAGTGTGCACTTGGGGGATTTTTAGAAAATAGACATGAAAAGGAATGCCATAAGCCAGAAATATTCTAAAATTGAAACAATCTTTTGTTAGGCTGCTCCCTAGATCTGATTCTCTCTTTTAACCAATTGAGGCATGGACAACAATTTATGTGGGTCATAATATTACACGTTTACGTTCAAGTTCTCACAAATGCGTATAACCTAACCTCTCAAATACCGACTAAAGGCAACATTGAGCTTGTTGTATATTACTGAAAACCAAATAATATAATTCCAAATCTTCATAATTTTCAGAGTAATCAAACACACATAAAACATATTTCAAGCATTTAAAATTACTTTTTCTATTTGCATATTCGATTTTATCCAAACACAAATGTCAGTGAATTATAAAGTACAACCAAAAACTTACATGTATAATATGCATTTTGTACAATTCAAATAAACCATATTAACTAAAATCAGTTATATGTTTTTTATAAACATTAAATAAAAAATAAGTAATACCTTATGAAAAGAACAATAAGAATTCAAATCTTGATATACAAGAAACTAGAACTTAATCAGCTGTTTCGCATAAATACAGTACATTGTGTTATAGTAGTGAAAACAATCCAGTTTACTAAGATTCAGCTGTTATAAATTAGATTCATATTTGGAGACTCAAAAGAGCAGACCACTTACTGGAGGAAACATGAGCCTTCTGGAGGGACCTCAACGTTTTTGGAGACCGATGTGAAAAAAATTATGGTCCCCTGGGGATTATGGTCCCCTTTCTAATCGGCCCTTACTGGCCCTGATTGTGTATAAGATAATAAGGGAGAGTTGTATTTAGGTCACCATATAAATCAATGGAGAGTAGGACCATAATTTGATAGGACCTCCTACCCTTTTACACTGGTGTGATTATTTTTTCTAGAAGATGATTGTTAAAAATTGAGTCTGGATACCCCTTTATTGCAATACAAAATATGATGGATAGATTAAGTTATGTACAAAAAAACAAGCAGTAGGTCTACAATTTCATTACTCATTACTCAAAATAGGAAACAATTGTGTAAATCCCATTTGAACATATGAATTTTAGCAGTTTTTCAACAATAACAGTGTATTTCATAATGTTTTTGTCAGACATCAATCAAGTATCCTAGAAATGATCACAAAGGACCACCATAAGATGACCAGATGACTTTTACTGTATCACTTGAGCCATCTTAAAGTGATCATTTTATTTTTATTGTATCACTTGAGCCACCTTAAAGTGATCAGATGACTTTTACTGTATCCCTTGAGCCACCTTAAAGTGATCAAATGACTTTTACTGTATCACTTGAGCCACCTTAAAGTGATCAGATAACTTTTACTGTATAACTTGAGCCACCTAAAGGTGATCAGATGACTTTTAGTGTATCACTTGAGCCAACTTAAGGTGATCAGATAACTTTTAGTGTATCACTTGAGCCACCTTAAAGTGATCAAATGACTTTTACTGTATAACTTGAGCCACCTTAAGGTGATCAGATGACTTTTACTGTATCACTTGAGCCACCTTAAGGTGATCAGATGACTTTTACTGTATCACTTGAGCCACCTTGAGGTGATCAGATGACTTTCACCGTATCACTTGAGCCACCTTAAGGTGATCAGATGACTTTTACCGTATCACTTGAGCCACATGTATATTATTCACTGTAGTATTATTACATTACACTGCCATCTATTTGACATCAGCACACAAATAAATATGAAGAAAATATATGTTTAATAGAACTGGTCAATGTACAGCACATCCAAAAAATGAATTTGGTAATCAAAAAACAAACTGATTTTCAATATAGTAATAGAACCTGTACATACAAACAGAACATTTCTTTTAATAGATACATACTGTATGAACTTGACCAAGCACTTGGAAGTTTATATAGAAGTTCCAAAGATATTATATACCAGCAGGTTCAAAATGTGACACACTTGGAGCACCTTAATTTCTTAATTATTGCAGAATAGTCTATGTGAGCCACACATGTACACTTTACAAGAAACTGAACTGTGTTGTTGTTATTGAATATTCGCATTATCACATATTGTTATGTCAGACATACAACCTCTTTTCTATCTAAATGTCAATATTTGCACACCCTCCCCCACTCCACACTTTTTCCATAAGGATTTATTTATCTCAGTTCTCAAGATCTCCTTGTTAGCATAATATAATTAAAGCTTGAGTGAAAATAAAATTTAAAATCTGAGAATCAATCCTTTTCACAAATGGATCATTTGACCAGAGCTTTGGGATGACTGACAACACATACAGTAATCAGTGCATCACAAAAGATATAATATATAAACAGTAATAGGGACCTTAGAGGATAGATTATGTTCACAGTGCACTTTCTTGTAAAGCCTGTATGTGTGGAATCTCAGGAAGAGTTAAGTTATTATCATCACTTGAATCATCATCATCTGCATCACTTGAATCATTGCCATCCACAACAATAGTGTAGTTATCAATTGATGTTGGTGCTATTGCCTTTTCGGGTGTTTTATCACCATTGGCTTCTACCAGTTCATCGATATCAGTTTCTTCCACAATGTGAAGCTCGGGTATTTCAGCTTTGGGAGAACTTGATTTTACACTTGGAGGGGTTTGTGGAGGATTTGAAGAGCTCTTAATATTATTTGAAGAGCTCTTGTCACCATCTTTATTTTGTGGTGCAGATTCTGCTGGGATTTGGCAAGGGAGTGTTTTCACTGTGGTATTTGATTTTGAAACATTATTGATGACATTCTCACTTACTTTGACTTCATTTTGAGATGAGTTGCAAGGCAACTTCGAAGGGGGCTCTGTCTTTTTCTGGAGTTTATTGCTTGAGGGGATGACAGTTTTCTTCATGTCAGATTTAATTGGAAGTTGAGCCAAGCAGTTTTGTTGAGATTTAAGGGGAGACTTCTCATCTTTGAGGGGAGATTTAAGGGGAGACTGCTCACCTTTGAGGGAAGATTTAAGGGGAGACTGTCCCTGTTTGAGAGGAGACTGACTCTGTTTGGTGGGAGATTTAAGGGGAGATGGCACCTTGAGAGGAGATTCTATGGTTGTTTTATCTTTTGTTGGTTCAATTTCGGGGGAGGATGCTCGATCATTAACATCCTCAGTGGGAGTATCCTCTGAGAAGATATAAGGGAAGAGCATCTTGACTCTCTGACTAACTGTGAAAGCAGGTATTGTTTTAGCGCATAATTCAGGGCTGTGAATTATCTTACGTCCAGATACTTCATTGCCCCACTCCTGACTGGACACTCTGTATGACATAGTTATATGGTCGTGTTTTGGCTGGTTGTGTAGGACAGTTAATGTAATGTTCAATGGCAGCTGAGGTAGTGCCATAACAGACTCATGTTTGCCATTACTGCTAACGATTAGCATACCCCCTAGGCAGAGTATCCCATATGACTTAGTGGCAACTCCGACTTGATCCTTCACTGTTAACTCTTCCGATGTAATCCCGACACCGAATAAATACCCGTGGCCAAAATCACCGATTTGGGTATTGTTACGTTCTACTGCGATTGTCCAACTTGCGTCATCTTGGACTGGATCAGCCGTAAATGTTGTGGATGTGAACCCCCAGGTTGTAAGGCATTTGCTCTGGAAACGTGGGGAAACGGGTGTTTTGCCACTGGTAGAGGGGGAGTTGACACAGGGGACAATAACAGGGCACTGACTGTCAGTGTCTTCTGAAAAAAATATCAATACTCATACAGTAATTGTATAATGGGTAGATAATTCTTTTAAAAATCCAACCGAAATGTTATTTCTAAGAAATTGAGGCAGCTGCAACTTCTCAGACTTTTTCTTGTAAGAGAACCATGTATTGGTGTACCATTGTTTGAAAGGTGCAGTAAATGTATACATTAAATTAATTCATGTTTATGTGTTTTTATTGTACTGAATCGTTGACTTTTCTCTTGCTAAACATCAAAACAATTACGTTTTTCAACTAGGTTCATACATATCTCAACATACACGATTTCCCTCATGGGTGCAAACAAATTATCAATAGCTTGGGTGCATTCAACCGATTGCAAACAAATTCTAAAATGGGTGCAAATGATTTCTAACTAGGTGCAAACAAATCACAACATGGATGCAAACAAATTCCAGACTGGATGCAAACAAATTCTCAACTATGTGCATGACAATGACACAATAACATAGTTTCTTTTCAAAATGCTTCACAGAAATGGCATTTACCTAGTAGATAATTCAGTGTATCTTTAGCAATGGTCCTGAAGTCATCTAGGCAATGCTTCAACTCTAAACTGTTCTGTTTGGCCCTTAGTAGACTTTGGTACTGTGCTGCAACATCCTTAGAACTATGGATAGAAACAAAACAACAGTGTTATCAATAACAAGTAGTTATAAATTCCATATTAATGTACAGTATGTAAACATGCATATAAATACTAAAGTCAGGGGTTTCGTAGAAAAACATTGGAAAATTGACTTGGTCCCAGAAACATCATGAAAGTCAGTAAAACATTAAACGAAAATTTTAGTACCTTTCAGCTGTCGTCACAACATTTTTCATCAGTGGGTCCATCTGGTGGGCATTTTGTAAACTAGCAATAGTACTCTTTTCATCAAGTAGAGTTTGGCAAGATTCGGCAAGAGTCTGTAGCTTCTGTTTAACCTCTTGGTTGTCCTTTATATAAACGTGTATCTGTTTAAGGTGCTGTGTTTCCATTGCACTCAAATTATGAAGTAGTTTGTCCCGTTCTAATGTTAGTGCTGAGACATTGTCTTGGATGATTTGTTTGCATTGAGCCTCGATTTTAGTTCTTGCATTGATATGTGTGGCCTGTAATATATTTACAAAAAGTTAAATATGTAAGTTTTGTATAATATGTTGAAATACAAGATTCGTACAATATGTTGGAATACAAGTTTTGTATAATATGTTGAAATACATTTTTTGCATGATATGTTGAAATATACATTTAGTATGACATGTTGAAATACATTTTTGTACAATATGTTGAAATACATATTTTGTATGATGTGTTGAAATACATGTTATGTTGAAATACTAAAATATGTTGACTCTACAATATGTTGAATTATAGCAGAATTTACTATGCCATTAGGATGTGAGTATTACTTTTTTCATTAATTCTTATTCAGATTCTTTTTAATTTGTATAAAAATATGACCATCAATCCCCGATATAACTGAGATCACGACAAAATAATCCAAATATTTTGACCTCTAATGGCCTGTTTCCTTTGTCAGATACTAAATTGACATCACTATCAAATATCTGAAAGCCTAACACCAACCACCATCAAGGTTTACCTTCATTTCAGCCTGTATGTCTTCAGCCTTACTGCATTGATCACTCAGAGCTGTTAGCAGATTCTCAAGCTTCAGTTTCGTACCCTCAATAGACTCCTGCGTGAATAAAATGAAAAACAGTCAACAATAACGCAAATGCGAGTAGGTAGTTACCACTTTCACCACCAGGTGGCTCGCTCGGGTCAGATAGCATGGCGGGTATAGTAGAAAGTTCCCTTTAACTTAAATCACATCTGTTTTAGTGGTTCAATTTTCATGTAGCACTAATGTGTCGAATAGTTATGCAAATAAAAATATGTCCAGTAAAAGAAAATGATATCTGTCCAATACAAGAAAAGATATTTCACGTTTTGTGATTTTGTAACATGGGGTCTATGGGGAATCAACCCGAACTAGAAGTCACATTTTCAAAAAATATTAAATTTTCAAAGTTGATAAATAATTTTCGAAACCATATTTTTAGATGTATTTTTACATGTAGATTTCAAATATGAAATCACTTTGACTGAATTTTGAATATTTAATGACGTAAATCAAGATCATTTCTACTCGCATCTAGTCTATTGGTCAGTGATTCAGTTTTACTCTTGATGAAACAGGAAAACTAAATATTGATTCAAGCCACCCACATCATCAAATGATAATGTAATCCATGGAATATTTTTCTCCTTCAGTAAAGTCCTTGATTTTAATGGACTTTTCTTCACTTCACATTGGTTAGAGTTAAACAACAGGTTAAACTGCCTTATTACGAAGTATTTTGACAAAAAAGCATCATATAATGAAGGACTTTTGAGGTGGCACAGAGGCAAGAAGCTGTTTGCCAAAAGGCTTCATAATAAAGCAATTTGCTGCGTAATAGGTACCATTGTTTTCATTTTTAATCCAAAATTTTCAGATATTTATCGTCAACATACCTTCATTTTCCTTGATGCATTTTCAGGCTTCAAAATCTTATGCCCTCCGTGTTTCCCGTCTCCATCACACACACATAGATGGCAGATAAGTAGCTTACAGTGATCGCAGTAAATACTCGCATGCTCAGTGGTGTGGTCTTCACAATATTCAACATTCTGATTTTTCTCCACATCAAACGGGGCACGGAGTTTGTGACGCAATAATGCCCCGCGTCGCGGATGATACTTATTCAAGCATGGGTTACAATAGTTCACGTCACACTGGCAACAATATTGCGTTGCCTTAGCTTGATTACTACTCTCACATAAGTCACATTTGCGTTTAGAATTTTGAGCACTCGGAAATCCTTCGTGGGAATGGGAGGGTCCTCCCGTGGCCTTATCTGTGTCCCTTGGTTCTGGAGATTCAGATTTGGAGGGAGGAGACTCCGATTTAAAACTGAGCGATTTGTTGAGCGTTTTTGAGATATGTTTGGAGATTTCCTCAGTGTAGCGTATGACTATGTTCTCAAGGGCAAGATTTCTGGGTAATTGAGGTATGGTTCCCTTTGTAACCCTGTGTTGTTTTCTACATGCTGGACACTGCAACCCTGAAAATATAAGTTGCAACTTCAACTTCATGAAATTTTTCCATGTTTAAAGGATCACTTTAAAAGGAATCTACCACCCAATCTGTGATCAGAAAAACAATTTTTCCTGTTTTTTTGTAAGCCTCATTTTCCGCTGAACTGTCATTTTTGGCTCACTCTGTATTAAAAGTTTGAAAAATCTTTTCTTCAATATCTATTTTGTTAGCCTCATTTTCAGCTGAACTGTCATTTTTGGCTCACCCTGTATTTTAAAATACATGTACTGTACTCACCCTTTGTCTTGTCTTCTTTGCTGTTGAATATATCCGTAAGGCAGCTTTTACAAACGCTATGGGAACAAGGGAGCATCAGGGGATCAGCATAAAGCTCTAAACACACTGGACATGTCAGCTCATCTTCCATGGCTTCATAGTTAAAATCTGAAAATACAAAGCACAATGAATATTTATCTATAATTTGATTGGCTAATAGGGCTTAATGAGTAGATTAACTACTAGATTTATGTTTGGAATGATTTCCTGTTAACGCACATCTAGTCAAGTTATTTCTCATGGGTTCATCTGCAAATACAAAGCACGATGAACTTTTTTAAATAATAAATTCCTTAAAAATCATAAATAAATTTACATATTAATCACGGCGTAATCGCCCAGAAAGGGCATTTCTACTGCACAATGAATGTTAATTATACAATCTTCTGATTAACTAATGGGGTTTAATGAACAAATCGATATATTTGGAATTTTACAGAACAAGTCAGGTTATTTTCCATGGCTTCATATTTGAAATCTGCAAACACGAAGCACTATGACTGATGCGGATTAATGAGTTAATCTATATTTGGAACGTTTGTATATCAATCTTTTGAATACAGAACTATGTCAGGTTAATTTCCATAGCTTCATAGTTAAAATCTGCAAATACAATGAAAGAACGGTGAATATAAATCTATAATCTTCTGATTTGACGATGGAAATAATGAATTAATCTATATTTGGAATTTTTGAATGTTAATGTTTTTAACACATATCTAGTCAGGTTATTTTCATGGCTTTAGATGAAATCTGGAAATAAGAAACATACTAAGTGTTAATCTATAATCTACTGATGATGGGCTTAATCAGGCTTAATCCAGAGCTTTATGAAGTGATTTATATCTGGAATATTAATATTTAACATTTTATAACACAGAAGTCAGATTATCTTCTATGGCTTAATACAAAACAGTTACACAGTTTTCAGCAAATGAGGGAGCCCATCAATAGATTATCCCGGATAATCTACTGATGGGCTGATTAGGTATCATTTTATATTCTGAAGGTATTCGGCTTATTTCAGCAGATTCACAACCCATGCCAGTAGCCAGTAGGGGGTTCGGGAGTTTGAGCCTTTATTGAACCCCCCCCCCCCCTGCCAATAATTCTTTCTAAATCATGCAGTTTTTCACCATTCTGAGCAATTGGGGCCTACAACCCAAAATGGATTGATAGGGTTTTTGAATTAATAAATATTTGGGATATTGACTGTATACAGTATTTAAATTATTAAATGTTACTCATTGAAGCTTGAAGCTTTGTAACAGAGGCCGAATACAGAATGCCAATTGCCAAATGCCTACCACCGAACACAATCCACAAAACAGTGGAGACTGTCAACACTCGTGATGGTGACATAAACAAACTAGTTTAGCTCATATCTTAGTCATCCCCCCCTCATCTCAATCAACCAACAGGGAAAGGGTGAAGCTCAAAAAATAAATCATAAACGCCACATGCATGGTTACACATATTGACACATTCCCTGGAAACTTTTGAAACTGTCCCTTATGAAATAATACCAGTAATATCAGTAATACCTATTACACAATGTATCTCCATTTAATACTCTAATGACTATAATATATTTAGTAACAGAGAATAACAGACTCCAGGAGGCATAAAATCCAATATATTTAATGGACAATACTGCAACAAAGGGCAATCATTCATAGCTATTAATGTATTGTTATATGACAGCACAATAGTGGAATACAGGCTCGTTATCAATTATATTGTGTCTTTGCAACTAATATGGTTGGCACCGTTACATTCATTATCAACCCCCTCCCCTCATTTTCACTAAAATGCTTCATGCATCACATATTTAGAGCTGAATACTGTTTTAATCAAATAGTGATTTCATTCTAACTATTTTATTTGAGGGTAGTACCATAAAAATGATGATATATAAACAAATTGTCATTTGATATTTGAAATAATTGAAACAATGATATTATCATCAGTTTTCTTGAATATATAGCTCAGCCTCTGAAAGTTTCGTGTAGGACACAAAATGCATCATATAGCTAAAAAGGATGTTCCAGTATATATCTCAAAAATACGAAAACATTGCGTTACAAGAATTCAATAATAATTCCATTTTCATAACAATTTTCATTTAATTACACAAAAAATAATAGATAATTTCATTAATGATTATGACATGACTAAAAATATAATCCATATTTTAATGAAGTTATATTCTGATTCTATTTAGACCATACCTTCCCAGAATTCCCTGCAATGGTGCGTAAGTTCCATTTTTAATCCTCCAGCAGCGATGTGTCAAGAATGCTTTCTAAAGAATTCCAACAACAATTCTAATACAATCCGTGGAAATTATCTCAAACTCATGTATTCTGTAGACTTGAGGTTAAAAGTTATCTAAGTGAGAGGCGTTAAATATGATCCATGGTATTAGGTAATTACGTAACTTTAGAAATTCATTCTACTTTGGAGTACAAGCTAACCTGCCCAACCTATCAGCTGATTATGCAAGAATCGTGAATATAAATACAGCTGGGTGTTCCAAATTAATTTGTATTTCTCAATCTTTTATTATTTTCAACTCAGAGTTCTCTTGTTCAATATATCAAGCTGTCATTTCTGTCCTTGCACAACTCCCAAGTGATCTTGGATGCTCTATGAATGATATCTATTCCTTTATCCTGTATTTATAGGCTTCAATTCCTTGGAAAATAATTACGATTGCCACATCAATTCTTCATGTTGTCTCACAAAAATTAGCTTAATCTTTTGATTTTTTACATTTCTATGCTATTAAGCTTGTGTACTAAATGTCTGTTTACTTTATTCCTGGTTGATTCCACTTTTTTGTGTGTTATTATCCAATTCAAAATGTGACCCCCTGAAATTTTATTACAGGGCTGCCAGGCCAGGATTACACAGTTCTACAGGCTTTTGGTGTTAGGCTTGCGGTTATTGATTGATTGGGTCTTTCCCAACTATTTGTTCAAGCTAGCACAATCAATGTATTTTGCATCCCCCAGATGTTATTTCACAGATTTCTTCTTACTTCTCTAACTTTGAGACTTCAACAGATGCATGAGTACTAAAAACAAAGTCAGTTACCACGGTGACTATAACATCACCAAATGTTGTCTTTATTGATTGCTAACATAAATCAGATTAAGCCATTACAGTTTTTTCCTATAATTGTAAAGTCTTGTGTCTAGTGATGTTTTTCAAAGAAAACATATCATTTATCCATTAAGTCTTTTCCTGTTTCATTTATTCTAAACAAATGTGAACAAAGTCCATTTTCTCAATGATTTAACACCACAAACATTATCATTTTTATATCGATTGTCAAGTATATGGTTGCATAAATCAGATTTAAGTAGTTTGCCTATCCAATAATTGCCAAGTCTTATAGTGGTGTTTTTGTCAAGGAAAGCTAACATTTAAATATATCCTTTAACAGCTTTTCCTCCTTCCTTTTACTCTCAATAATGTCCCATAATTGTATATGATTTCATTACTTAATACTCCTTACTTTTAAGAGTCGATAATTAACGGAAACTGCGAAGATTGTGAAAATGTTTTCCACAGCACTACTAAACTAGGAGCTCTAACAGAATGGAATTGTTAATTAAACGCTATTAACAACAGATAATGATTGTGTTTTTCAACAGTAGGACCGTGAATCATGAATTAATTAACGAGTGATGTAAAACAACTGCATTTAATTACTTGTTAATTACAAACGCTTCAATCTGTTGGTCCATATAAAAGTCTTTTAGTCTGACACTGTTATTATATTGACATGTCAATTTGGTGTCATTATAATTATGAGTGTTAATGAGCTACATCCAACATGGTACACACTACATCAACAATTAGGCCCCTTTGGGTTAATTGTTCGTTTACTTGAAATTGTTTTCTGAAATCGGAACAGGCTACCAGGTGAAAAGGATTTTTCTTCTTTTTTACTCTCAAATTGCTAATTTAATAATCTAAAAATTAATGGCAAAGAAGTATCCTTACACAAATAAGGATAAGGATTTGATACAGGAAGTTTGAAGTACCAGGCAACTTCACATCTCTTGAGATGAAACAGCCACGCCAAAACTTATCAGAAATATAATTTTAGATTCTTGAACATGTTCTTCAGGTTGGATTATTAAATCACAAAACTATTTTCTTCTTTTCACAACCTTTAACAAGAACTTCATGTGAAGTTAAAATAAAGGTTGTGAAAAGAAGAATATAATTTTGTGATAATTTTAGATGTTTTTCAACAAAAACTGTACAAATAAAGTCCAAAGAAAGCATTATACCTAACTTGACCTGAATTTATCTCAGCTACTAATTTTTGCATCATATTACTTTGGCTAGACAAACATTTAACAAGTTAGAGCCACACAACTACAAGGATACCTGTACCACAAGAACATACCATTTTAACACACTGAGACCTTTTGACAAAATTAGTTTTGGTTCCTAATAAGAAAACGCTTTATTAATATACCAGGCCATGATTGAATGTGAGCGACCCAGTTCAATTTAAAAGATGAACTACCCCCCACCACCTATGACACCCCCCCCCCCTCCCCACATGAAAGTTTGCTATGGGTATAAATACAACAAAAGGTTAACTTTATACAAAGTAACAAAATAAAATGCCATGCTAGTTAAATCAAAACTGCAATGCAGCAATGCAGAATTCTAATAAAAGAAATAATACATTCAAATGTATTTATTAACAATGACAAATGCTCAATCCTAATGCAAATACTTTATCAAGTGTTTCCATAGATTCATTTAATATTTAGAGTATTACTTAGGGTATGCATTCATTAGCTTACTTTATTCAACTAATACTTTCCCCTGGCAAATACTGCTAAAATGTATACATGCATGCATCAAGTCCCTTTCACTTCCATTCATGAGAATTTGTTATAAAGCAAGCTTTAGAACCATGTATGTGTCTCATATGGTGCCCTGACAGGCCCATAGCCAGGCTGCCAGAGGGGGTGTTGAGGTTTTGGGCGATCCCCTGGTCAAAAATTCTTTCAAAACAATGTATTTTTTACTATTCTGAGCATTTTCATGTGATTCTGGGCCAAATTTGTCAAAGT